TCCCGCGAAGTGCCTCTTTTCTCTTCCTAAACCAGCCTCTGCCTCCCCCCGCCCCGCCAAGAGAGGCTTTTCCTGTCAGTTTGTGTGAGTTTCATGCCGGTGGTGGAAACCAGAACGTGGTTCCGCGACCAAACATAGGCGAAAAACCCCCCCGAATTATAAATCCTAATCCCAAAGGTTGTTTCCTACATCGTGCGTGAGTAAAGGGTAAGTTTAGCTGGATGTTGGTACAAATGCTTAGCGTGAAAATGTGAAGAAATTCCGTCCTAGTTAAAACCTGGTACTTAGAGCATTTTATTTATCTATTCAAAGCATGTGTTTCCAGGCAGCTCGTGGTTCCTATGCCTGTTCCCCAAATTTGGCCTGCTCTCCCAAGGAAACGTGGCACATGCAGGGTTACCAGACAAATTTCCCCTTTCCTCACCTTCCCCGCAGTAGCTATCGCCTAATTTCAGGTTAATCTGATACAGTCACCGACCCAAAAAGGATTTGGGGTAAGTTTTTTGTGAAAGCAGGTCAAGGGGAGCGATGGTATGGGTGCTCCCGCAGAGGGAAGGGCTCGTGAACTTGCTCTTCTTCCACAGCAAGGCCTGTGTTTGTACGTGGGATTCTGGAAATCTGGTTTTGCGAGTTGTGTTTCTCAGGAAACTCCTGCGCTGTTGCCTCTGCAGGTCCCGTCAGGTGCTGGGAAAGGCGTTGCTCCTGCTCTACACGCCTCTAGTTGCGGATGTCACAACCTTCCTGGTCACGCTGTGCGCTGTGCCTTTAGATCTGCCTAGGACAGGCATCCTTTTTCCACCTATTTTAACCCTAGTGCAGGTAAGACTTACACAACAGGGTTTTTTTTTCACCTGTAATGTAACCAAGAACTGACAGAACCAGCCCATGCCATTCCCACGTGTTCCAAGATGAGGAGTTAGCCCTTTTTTCCCTCTTTCCCCCTCCAGATGAAATGAGTTTTAAAAAAATCATACTGTTGAAGCTAGAAACACACAAGGATCTCTCAATGCCTGGCCTTCAGGGAGCACGCTTTCCAGTTTCTTCATCTGTATTTTGATGTGATAAAGGGGAAGCTGACATTCTCATGTAATCACACAAATTCAGGAATTTGGGCTTGGAGAAAAGTGTAAAATACTATGAGCTGCATGATGAAGTAACAAGAATCATCAAAATGAAAACTGCCACATTCAACAGTAAACAGAGTACTGTGTGTTGATTTTGGCAGCAGGAGTTGTTGCTGTATACTAAAAATACACACACCCGTTTCACTGATCATAAACATTACAAATGTCTGAAGCAGAGAATGAGATCAGTTCAGAAGTTAGGAGATAAAAATAATTCTTAAATTATTTTTACATCTCAAGTCTGAGTCTCTTGGCTGTGCTTGGGGTTGCAGCCCGAGTAAAATTATATCATATTTTAAGTACACATGCGTGCTCTCCATTTGTT